CTTCATACCTGGAATATGAAAGACATTGTTGAGGGTGGTAGCGTCTTTTTGATTCTCATTGATCACAACAGTATCTTCCTTCTCCACATTATGGACTGTATTATCTGTTGTAACAATGACATCATATCTATTATATTCGCGAAATGTGGAGAATTTGGATTGATCTCCAGTGAGATGGTGCCCACATCCCTGATCCACGATCCAGTCTCTTTCAAAATTTATGGAAGCCATGGCATTTATTGCTCGAGTCTCCGATGCAAAGCACTTTCCCTGGTCTGCTTCTTTTTCTTCTTCTTCAGCAGCTTTCTTGGTTTGAGCCATATTGCTCTCTTTGGCTCGACAATATCTTTTTATGTGTCTGGCTTTGCCACAATGGTAACATTTTAAAAGTTTTTTACCGTTAGTGGAAGACTCCCCCTTCTTTCCTGGCGAGCTTTAACCACTTGAGGATTGGAAGTGCATGTTATCTCTTGATTTCCCTTAAAGTTCCTCTTATCGGTGACAAGAGCATTTCCTTCCCCCTCTTTGATAGATACATCAGCCATCTATTTGGCTAGTAGCTCCTGTGACGACAGCAAATTTTCTAATTCTTCCAAAGATGGTTGTTGAACCCATCCTTGAATTGATGTAACAAAGGAAATATATACTGGCTTTAAACCATGAGTAATAATTCATCTTATTCGTACTTCAGAGATAGCCTCGTCCGGATTCAATAGAGAAATTTTGGAACACAGATTTTTAATCTTCAAAAAATACTCGGCGATAGAGAGATTACCTTGAGTGGTGTTAGTTCATTCATTCCCCAAAATCTGTAGCAGAGCTTCATCCTTCTTGTTGAACAGCCGATTGAAGATCCTCTATATTTCATGAGCAGATTTACACCTTATAATATGTTCAAATAAATTAGGAGAGATAAAGCTCTTCAGGAAAAACTTCGCCTTAGCATTAATCTGCCTCCACTTCTTACGCACATTGTTTTTTTTTGGTACGTCAGCATGGGACTTGTGTTACTCCCACTGGAAACTTCCCACAAATCCTCACCAACAAGGTATGACTCTATACAAGTCTTTCATACCTTGTAGTCGAACTGGTTCAATAACTCTATCCCCGGTCCATTAGCACGACCACCCAAATCCATTTAGAGAAACCAGTTGAATTAACCACAACCCGACCTTGCAAATATATCTAGAAGCCAACTATGATTTTGATATCAGGTAAAGAATAGCAGAAGAAAAGTATTATTTGGAGACCTTCTGCTAGCCCAAGATCGTTAACTAAAATAGGAAGATTCAACTAAATTAAAAGGAAGCTTTCAAAGGAGAAGGAAAATTTTGGAGAGGAGAACTTTGTTTAGGAAAGAAGGCTTTCTTGATTTTGACTTGGTTACAAATGCCAAAGGTCATCCCTATTTATACTTGTCTAAGGATGGTTCTAGATAATATTCTAGAACATGTACAAGAAAAAATCTAGTTAACCTTATATTCCCACAATACTCTAGAAAATCTAGATGTATCAGAGTTACACTCCTTTACCTTGTTCATACTTGCTCTATTTTACTGTTCGAGCCGTTTATTTAACTGAAAGCATGCCTACGTTTCTGTACATTATTTCTGTTATCCTTGAGGAGGTTGAGTTCGTCACTACCTATCACTCCAAAGGTTGGACTTGTTACTTACTGAGTTGGTGTACTCACGTTACCCTCTGCACCTCGTGTGAAGATTCAGGCACTTTGGATCTAGTGGCGTATGTTTGATCGAGGCTTCTGACTTAGAAGATTATGGATGTACCTGCACGGTGTTCGTAGGCCTTGGCTCTCCACCTTACTTTCCAGTTGTATTTTAGTTGTTCCCTTAGACAGTATATGAGACTATGTATTCTTCCTTAGACGCTCATGCACTCAGTGACACCCCGGTTCTTGGGCTGGATTGTATTTATTCTTGGAATTTCTTATGTTTCAAATAGTTCTTTAACTGTTAAAAGCTTCCGTAAATGTTTTCAAACTTGTTATTATCGTGTTGATTGTTGAGTTGAGGCTAACCTAGTTTCACGATAGGCTCCATCACGACGAGTCGGGTTTTGGGTCGTGACATTATAACCTAATGAACCTGGTCCTTGATGACTTGTGACTTTAAAATGGAAAGTATTCTAACATTGTGTTGATGTTGAGCTGAGTTGAAATAGGTTCCATGCTTATGAAAAGCACAGAGTTTGTCATCATCAAAAAGGGGGAATTTGTTGGTCTGAGTGGCTTTTATATTTGTGATTGACAAAGGAACACATGCATGAACCAGGTCCATGGGTAGTGTGTACACATGGTACGGTCAAATTCAAGCAAAAGGCATGAACATGCAAGTGAGTTATATTTGATATTCCCTGAACAAAAAGGTTGCATAATTGATATGGAGTAGGACTTTTACTTGAAGAGAACTCCATCCTAGATAAGGAAAGAGTTAGAGATTGAAGTTAACTAGAACTCTTCCACCAAGGAAGAGTAATGCATTAGACTCTAGTTGATCCTAATCCCATTAACTTTATAAATTTCAGTTGTGTTCTCTTTTACACGTGATGCACAAACGCTGTAGTTAAGCAAGAATTGAGAGCAAAATAGCAACGCATTTTGCAAGCAATTACTGTGTGTTTCAAGTGTGCGAACCTGGAGCTACATGAACCAGATAGAAGAACTAGTTCCATGTGTCTGTCTTTTATTCTAGTTCAATTATAGTAGGGATTTTGAGTTGTACCTTCATCTTTCTTTAGAAGCATTTGTACTAGATACTTTGAGTTGTATTATTCAAGTTAGAGTTTGTCACAATAGCCTGTGGCTGGTTGCTACAAGGGTTAGAGGTAATCCTTAAGTTTACAAGAGGTTTGTAAACATTGTTGTTTTGGCTCAGAGTTGAGTGAAGTTTTAGGGAAAATCATACTGGGAAGTAGGTCGTAGTTTTTTTACCTTTTGAGCCAGGTGTTTTCCACGTAAAAATACTTTTGTTCTTTACTGTCACCATTACTTCTTCCACAACTGAAGTGTAATGAACGCATAGAAGAACCATCTCCTTTTATAATCAAGTGCACGCGAAAGTTGGACACCACACAAATACCCCACCCCCACCCCCACCCATTTGTATGGTATTGAGATATAAAATATCACTGCATAACTATACGCAATAAACCGTTGTGGTGTACTCATACTACACTTCTACACATTTTTGTACAGATCCAGGTATTGAGGAGTCAGTCGATCGTTAGCTAGATGTACAGATTTTGTGGTGGAGACTCAAGGTAAACTTGTTGCTGCGTTCACAGGCTTTGGAGTCGCCTTCTTATTTTGTATTTGCACTATTCGCTCTTATTTCGAGACAGTTGTATTTTAGAGGTTTTCTAGCAAACTCTTTAGAGCTTATGACTTGTACTACTGATTTTGGAATTGTAAATTATATAGAAATTTCTATTTCGCAATTGTTCGATGTTAGTTAAATGTTGTTGATATTTCAGTTAATGTTAGGCTTACCTAGTTCTTCAGACTAGGTGCCGTCACGACATCCAACGGAGGGGAAAGTTGGGTCGTGACAAGTTTCAAAATGTAAGAAGGTATAAAAATAAGACCATTTTTCTCATATTTGGAATTTGAACAAATTATTTTATGCTATCCGTTTGATTTATTATAAGAACCTTTTTTTTAATGGTGAATAGAACGTTCATTAGAAACTAGAAACTCAAATATGTACTGTCTTGGAAGCAATAAAATGAGATTCACACGTAAGATATAACTTAAAAGTAAAATCATTAATTATATTTGGTAAAATCTAAAGGAATATCATATTTAAGCCGTTAAGGAAAAATTGTTAGTGTAAAGAAATATGTATTTAGTGTATGTCACTTAAAAAGCAATTGCATGTAAAGATCTTTAAGTTCATATTATTCGTTCAACGGCTTAATCAGCAGGCAAATATATATACTTTTCCTACTTAATTGCAAGTTTGTTCGGACAGTAAATATACCAACAAAAAGAGGTGCTGATTAAACTCAAGACAAGTACACTTTTAGCTAGCCGGTTGCATGGAGCAGTAATTACTGCAGTCCTCTTGCACTAATATTGTATTGGCTTAATTACTTAAGTTGGAGGGGCACATGATATTTGGAAGTCCTTGCACGTTCGCACATGTCTCTCAAGTTCAGCTCGTCTCTCTCTCTAAATTCTAACTTTTCTTTCCCATTTCTAATCTACAATTGAAATAATCATACCAAGAGTTGCGATAAAGCGGTTGTTTATCCCTAATCAGATATTTTAGGTTCGAGTTATGCATATGAAATAGGCTTCATTAGACAGAGATTTACCCCTAATGTTGAACTTTTCGGTTTAAAATTCGAGTTTAGTCGGGTTTCAATGCGAATACCAGATACCGGATTGAAAATCCCAAAGATCCTATGTATCTCGTGCTTAATGAGGACTTCAAGAACGTGTTAAACAAAATCATTTCTACACAAGTATATATGTAAGTACATGCGTACTTTCTATTATACGACTTGTAAAGCGACTCAAGCTATTTGATACTTCACCTATTTTTCTAACTTGATTTTTCAAAGGATATGCTCCGGCCGTTTTCACTTAAAATATGTCTAACTTTGAATTATTGATATCTTAATTTATTAATCGGTTCGATCGGTTTTTTGTATTCAGCCGATATTATGTACTTTAATTTATTACGTTGGTTTTATGCGGTCATTAACTCTCTTAAAACACCAACCAAACGGGCTCTAAAATGTCGACTCTCATATGTATCTTTTCTTATTTTTCCCAAGGAGAGGGCCTAGTCGCGCTAGTGCAATTTGGAATCAGATACACGAAATTTGTACACTTTGATATAATTGTGACAAACTGACAAAGCAATATGGCGATATATGCAAACTTTGGTGTTAATTAAGTTTATATAGAGACCAACTAATTAATAACATGTGTGCGTCCCAACAAGCTAAGGACATAATGAAAGGCAGAAAAAACCTTATCTTTTAACAGAAACGGTGAAGTTATATCCAAATTTGAGACCAATAAGGTACCAAGACACAGCAAGCTAAGAGACCAAAAAGGCTGTAACTACACATATCAATGGCGGCCTCGAGCTGCCAATTTCAACTTACATACTATATTAATTATAACGTCAGGCCTATAAAAGTGAAGAAGACAAAGTCATTCATCTGTTGCTCAGTACAGCCATCTCAAAACAATGTGAAAGTAATCATAAATGGAGCTGCAAAGGAGATAGGAAGAGCAGCCGTAATTGCTGTGACTAAAGCTAGAGGTATGGAAGTGGCTGGTGCTGTTGATACTAATTTTGTTGGACAAGATATTGGACAGGTCCATTGCTTAATTCCACTTTGATTTTTCTCAATCTCTGCGTTTTTCGTTCTTTCATTTACTTTTAACATAGAATTTCAGGTTTGTGACATGGAAGAACCTCTAGAAATACCGATAATAAACGACCTTACAATGGTGTTGGGTTCAATATCTCAGGTAAAAAAATATGGTCTTGAATTATTAACCCAATTGCTTTAATTCTGGTTAAAATTCTGATTTCTGACTTTGTGAAATCAAATTATGCAGTCAAAGGCAACTGGGGTAGTCATTGATTTCACTGACCCTTCTACAGTTTATGACAATGTCAAACAGGTCCAATAATCTTAAACCACTTGTTTAACAGAGGGAAAAAGTTCAGAAGGTGGTCCTTTATATTGTGAACATAATCATTTGATTTCGTTGGGCAGGCAACAGCATTTGGGATGAATAGTGTAGTTTACGTGCCAAGGATTAAGCAAGAAACTGTCATGGCTTTATCTATGTTCTGCGAGAAGGCCAGCATGGTGAGGGTGCAGGGTGAGATTTACAGATTTGTACAATTTATATAACCACATTCTCAAACAATGCCCTATATGCATTCTTTTTAGAGCAACGGTAAAGTTGTTTTCATGTGACCTATAGGTCACGAGTTCGAGCCGTAGAAACAGCCATTGATGTTTGCATCACAGTCAGTGGCGAAACTAGAAATTTCCCCAAGGGTATTCAAATTTGAAAGAAGTGAAAAAAATTTCCGATAAAGGGTGTTCAATATGTATTATATACCTTTAAAACGTTTTGCCTATATACACAGTCAGTGGGGGATCTAGAGTGCAGTTACTGGATTACCGGGAACCTAGTAACTTTTGTGTAGATCCTTTATTTCTTTTAAAAACCCCACTAATATTATAAATATCTAAGTGTGAACCCAAGTATTATTTTATATTAATTTGAGATTACGACAGGAACCCGTATACTTAAAATCATGGATTTGCCTCTGTACACAGCACAATTTTTCGACTAGGGGTGGTCAATTGACCACCCTTATGACCATGTGACTTCGCCCCTGATTACAGTAGGCTGTCTACATCACACCCAAAAGGCATATGGCCATTTCCCGAACCCTGCGTGAATGCGTAATGCTTTATGCACCGGACTGCCTTTTTTTTTCTGCCCTATATGCAACTCTTTTGACATCCTTGTTTGCTACTTTAGTAGATGCAATTCACAAAATTCATTTGTTCATCAATTTAAATGGGAAAAGCACTTGAAGAAACAATTACTTAAACGGATTTTTTTGGCAATGATATCAGGGTTGCTTGGTTGCACCAACTCTTTCAATTGGATCCATACTTCTCCAGCAAGCAGCAATTTCAGCTTCTTTTCACTATAACAATGTAGAAATTGTTGAGTCTAGAGCAAATGCAGTGGTAAGTACATTAACCCCGTGACACGCCTCTTTTGTGCTTTTCACGTGTTCTCTTTTATTTGTTTGGACTATATTTGAGTTCCGCATGTAAATCACGATTAGTGACGACAAAAAGAGTTTGAAAGTCTCTTCGCTAACAGAATAAAATAGTAGAAACCAGCTAAATTTGAATATCCACTTTACGTATTATTTGTTATAAAAAGGTATATAACCTTCCAGAACCGGTCATATTACTTTTATACCGTTAAGGTCATTTGACTCAATTGTTGGATAGATAAGGATATCTCATGGGTTGGAATATCTCATGGTATCCCGCCTTCTATATAGAATAATTAATACTATTATTTTGGTATAAACTTTATACAGCTAATACCCATAATCAAACATAAGATAAATATAATCCTAACTTTTATCCCGAGCTTAATATCCTTATCCCATAAACCACCTCAATGACTAATGCTTAGATTCAAAGAAATATTTTTCCGTGGTACAAAATGTTACTTCAACATTACAAGGGGCCCAACGCCAAGACCTAACACCATCTATTTGTTGCAATGCCTTAAAATCCTCCTTTTCCAATTGAATAGTGATAATAAAGCATAGTGCATGGGTCCATAACCTAGCTGGATCCAGTCTTTGTCGCTTAATTAGGTACAAGAATTTATTGTGATCTTAAAATCTCAATCAAACAGCAAATATTAACAGTGACACGGTCGTCGTCGTCTCTACACCGAAAATTTTATTTTGTGTGTCATACAACTGCACTATTTATATGAGGCATCTTTTTTGTCTTACAGTTTTGTGGACCCAGATTTTTGTGAACCCAAAAGTATAAGATTAGGGTCCACAAATTTGTAAGACAAAAAAAACGTTACACAACTAATGTCAGTTGTGTGAGGCACACAATAAAACTTCTCTCTCTACACCTTTGGACACCGAATCTTCTATTTTATTCTTTTCTAATAAACTACTCCATGTCTTTTAGCTTTTCTTTCCAAGAACCTTAAGGGCATTAAGCGTCTCATCTAGAGACATCAAAATGGGCTTGGCCGGTGAGGCCAGCCCAATCCAGCGCGCTACTTGGGTAGTGTTGGGTTAGAATTTTTTGAGCTCATTTAAAACTAAGGCTTATAAGCCCGGCTCAAGTCAGCCCGCTGGCCCTTGAGGCTTGACTGAGGCTGGGGTTGGGCCAGCCCATGAGCCAAAAATTAATTAAATTCAAATGAATTAACTATTAAATATTTAGAAAAAGTAAAAACTAAAAAACTATTAACTGCAACCCCTATTCCCCAACCCTAGATTGCTCATTTACCTTTCCATATCAACTAGAATTTTGATTTTTGACATTCATGTAATATGAAAAAATTAGTTTTTCTTTTACTTAATTAATAACGAACTCGAAAAGTTTTAGGTGACCAATAATAATCTTTTTTCCAAAGAAAATATTACTTTAAGTGGCCAATGATCAGTTTGGATTGCTTTAATATATTTTTAATATTTAAACTGCTCTTCAGTATAGAAAAAGATCAATTATAAATACAGAAAAAACAAAAGTTGACCACTAGCAAATTTCAAGAATTTAAAATTTATGAACTATAATAATGAAATCAGCAAATGATGTTAATCCTTAATTTAAAAAAACTCGGCATATAAACTTATTGAAGCAATTCCTGAATCTGAGAAAAATGAAAGAAAAACATTAAGAAAATATTCATGTAACTTTAAAAAAGAAGAGCTAGAGATATAGAGAATTCGCATTTCAATTACGAGATTCCTCGTCAAATATCAAGCATTTTGTACGCTCTAAGCAAATAGAAGTTGTTTGCATGATTAATCGACTATGTCACGAAAAAATATTTAAGGATTTAAAGAAATCCTTTTTTCTAAAAAAGAATTGAAGGGCCGGCCCGTCCTAGCCCACCAAATTTAAAAGCCCACGAGGCTTGGGCTAGGCAGGGCTGGCCTGGCCCGGCCTGTTTGACAGCTCTAGTCTCATCTTTTAATTCTCTAGATCAGCTAAATCTAATTTACTTCTGTCTTCTTTATCCAAAGAAAACGACTAGGATTGAACTGACGCATTGCGGATTTTCACTGATAACTACTAGTAGCAGTATGCATATTCTCATCCATATCAAATCAGTGAATAATGAATATACATAGTCTGCAGAGTATTTCTTGCATTAAAATCATAGTTATAAGAAAAAGAAACCTGCCACGTATTACATGCTATTGAATCACCAAAATCAGCGGTCAAAAGTAATGAAGTTATTGCTGGTTACAGGATTTTCCAACCCAGGATGCAGTTCAAATTGCTAACAACCTTTCCAATTTGGGTCAGCTGTATAATAGAGAGGACATTTCCACTGATATTCCGGTATGAAGCAACAAATCCTTATTTATGAACTGGTAACCCCTTCAAAATAAGCCAAATGGGATCAAATAACATGAGAGCATTTATTACCAGCAAAACTCTGCAGCAACTGGATTTATGGACTAGGCAATTTCTCGACTTCAACTGCATTCTGATAATTTCTTGCTTTTATCTTCTGTGCTGCAAGGCAAGGGGTCAAGTTCTAGGGGAAGACGGAGTACGTGTTCACAGCTTGGTTCTACCAGGGCTCCCGTCTAGTACGTCAGTATACTTCTCAAGGCCAGGAGAGGTGTGCTTCTGAACTGTACTCTCCAATGACTATGGTAGAGAAGGGCCATGGATCCCCCTTGTATTATGAGAATCTTATCTATGACTGTTGTTCATCAGGTTTACACACTAAAGCATGATATCACGGATGTGCAATGTCTCATGCCAGGCTTAATTCTAGCCATTAGAAAAGTTGTTCGCCTCAAGGTACCTATCAAAGAACCATGTCTTGACATATTTCACCATGACACTAAACAACATACTCTTTGTTTTTCCTTGGCAGAACCTGGTCTATGGCTTGGAGAAGTTTTTATAAGAAGCAGACAGTAAGAGGCTAAAGGGACTGTAGGCAACATCCAGATATCTTGTGAGGAGAACATGAATGGGGAGACATGCAGTCAAGAGAGAAATTCCCAAAATCTGCTGTCAAAGAGCGTGTTGGATCACAATATGCGACTTATTAAACAGCTAATAAAATCTGAGAATATATGTTTTTCCCATGCCGCCTAAAAGCGAAAATATAGAAATTGTACCCTCTAAAAACTTTCAGACCTATACTGAATAATTCCCTTTTTTTTTTCTTTTTTATTGAGGGATCACTTAAACTTTTTATCTAAATTTGAGAGAACCCTACATTCTTTTTGCAATTGTTCTTTCCTCCCGCCACCACCCCACTTGGTGGATTGGTAGTAAATAGCATTTATTTTGACATTGCATTGTGGTGTCAATTCCATCTCCATGCTCTAGGACTAGGGTTCTTTTAAATACTTTTTCCCTTTGTCTTTTTAGATTCTTGCTCCTTGCCTACTATATAAAAGTTCATCATTTGCTGTATAGTCTTACACATTAAGAATCAAATTCCAGCCATAGCATTTCGAAGACCAAAAAGTAAATTGGTGTTTTAATTGACAATTCAAAGAACTTCCTCAAATAAAGAGCTAACACAAAACAAGATGTTTCCAATTTTGTCTATAAAGGAAGAAAGAGAATTGTCACAGAATGCTGTACACTTATACTGAAACGTTTGACATGGTGAAGAGAGTAGATTGCCAAAGACTTGAAAAAAGCAAGAGACAAGTTATATTTACATTATGAACCAACAACTACCTTAAGGCGAATAACTAAGACAGTTGGGTTCTAAAGTGGTTAAAGAAAAAAGGAAAAGATATTTCAGCACTTGGGGATTCTGTAAAGGAGAAATTAATGATATTATAACTAAGACCTAAAGAACCGAAGGGTAATTTTTAATCTCTGAACTTCATAGGACGGGTGGCAATTTCTCCTATTCACAAACTATTCTTATGGTGGATCATTTGCAATATTAATCCCGACATGCTCATGCAGAAATGAGAATACTGTAATTTGCAGCATATTAATAGAGAGAGGACAACTAAAGTAAATAAAAGCATAAAAGAAGTTGTAACCAGATAGGGAAGTGCTAGAGACTAAAGAAAGCCGTACTCTGGTCATTTTGGGAAGCACCATAAAAAAAGGTTTGCCAGCTTCCTATTAAAAGGCTGGGAATGGAAACTTGTACTCATTTTACTAGCCAGAGATTTAGGATCTATCAACCATTTTCCTATTTTTCCACCTCTAGATATTGGTAGAGTAGATTAACATATGAGAGACTAGAAAAAATGAATATTGTGGATTTGTTACCATAAAATCGTGGTCACCTTAATGAGGATTTGCTTTTAAGAAAACCTGGAATATAGTTTGTGTCCAGACCAACTTAGTTTTTTCTTCAATCATTCCTTAGTGATTGTGTTAAAAACTTAGTTCTCTTCTAATCATGGAAAACAGAAAATAAAGATAGAGCAGAGGTTTGGTATGAATGGGTGGAGAGGAAGTCAAATTTCATGAGAAAGATGACTTTGAGTCGGAAGGTGATGCTGTGGTTATGTAAGTTACTGCATATTGCTTCAGATGGGAAAGGGAATGAGTTCAGGAGATGGAGGACCCGGGATCATGTCTTCAGTTTTTACTGTGCCAAGAAGTTCAATGACCATGGCAGATTCATAAGTGTGGTTATTATCCTTCCAGAAGTTTCATTCAACGCGGGGTGGAAGGTACTTGCTTTAAAGATAGAAAGGTTCATTAATAGGGAGCCTCCTGCTACACAGAGACAACCTACAGTAGTTCCAGTTGCGAATCTTTCGTACAGAGGTGCTTTCAGCTCCGACAAGTGGGAAGCAAAAGGAGCCTCTACATCATTGTCGGAGAACCGGTCGACAGTACACGCATAGTGATGAATGGTCCAGTAATAGGTGATGAAGACGTGTTGAGCAGGTGCCTGATCGGGAGCTTCGCAATCAGCAAGGAGTTGCCTACTCTTTCTGATATCCGGAGATGGGCTAGCAACAAATGGAATGCAATTCCAGGGGTCCAGATGTATGAGTTACATGGGCCAAAATTCTTATTTGAGTTTCCTTCCAGAAAATTAGCTGAACACACTAAACTGGGGGAATGGAGTTGGAGAAATAATTTAATGAGTCTGGAATGGTGGTCGCCGGTTGCAGAGTGTTTGCCGGCCACTGCCAATCTCGAGTGTGTGTGGATAAGAGTACTGGGATTACCACTACATCTATGGTCACAAAGAATTTTCAAGGAGATCGGTGATAGATGTGGTGGTTGGATCGAAACAGAGGAAGAAACCTCTCTGCGTAACCATCTTAAATGGGCTCGTTTGAAAGTGAAGGGCCCAGTTGCAGCAGTTCCCAGTAGCATTGAGATAGAAAAAAATGGAATTATCTTCACAATTCCGATTTGGTGTGAGGCGCCGGTGATATGGAGATCTCTTTCAGAGGTTTCAGCGGTGAACAGGGGAGACACAACAGTAACTATGACGTAGGGGTTAAAAGGGGTGATGGGATGGGTCACGTGACTAAGGGTAGCTGCAGTTTGAATTTGAATCATGGCCCAGTGGATAAAGAGGTGCCAGCTGGGAAGTATTCAACTGGGCCACAGGGTATGGGCCAAGGGGGACTTTTAATTTCTGGGTCCAATTGTGGGTCATTAAAGAGTCCAGATCTGGGAATTAAAAATAGATTTTCGGTTCTGGGTTCTTTTAATAAGCCCGACCCGATGGAAACAGAGATATTAGCGAACATTAGCACAAGGGAATCGCTTGCTATGGTTGCACTGATGGAGAGAGAAGAAGAGATCTGCAACACAGAATCAACAGAGCTAATGATCGTGCAAGGGTCTGAGGAAGTGGCTAGATCAATATGTCCTGAAAGAGAAACTACTCCATTTTCTTCTCCTATTTCTGTTACAAACAAACTGCAAGATGTAGTAGTACATGAGGAACCCACAGAAGCAATGAAGATGCAAGGTGGGGAGCAGGTGGTTAGAGCATCTTGCTCTCACAGAGAGATTATTTCATTTCCTTCTCTTTCTTCTGAATTAAACCAATTGATGGATGAAGAAGACCACGAGACATGGTCCGTGGATGATGCAGAACCTCTAGATGTGCAATTTATCGAGGCAGAGATAGAGGCTTCTTTGTGGGTTCATAAAAATGTTCTAAAATTGAGCAAGACATACGGGGTAAATTTCCAGGGCTGTGAAAGGGAAGCTCTAGAGCTGTTTCTCAAAATTGATAGGCATAGACAAAAGTTGAGGGAGGCGTCAACAATGAAGATGTGCACGACTCCAAAAAGGAAAAAAGGGAGTTTGGAGGTGCAGAATTTGGTGTTTAATATGAATTTTCCGGAGTCAAGCTCTAGGAATAGGGGGAAATCTATTAGCAATGTGTATCAATGAAGGTCAATATTATCTCTTGGAATGTTAGGGGATTAAATCGTGTTAACAAAAGAAGAGTGGTGAAACTACTAATTGAGAATTGGAAGGCAGACATTTATTGTCTTCAAGAATCCAAGCTTGAAGGGGATGTACAGGGGTATGTGAAACAGATATGGGGTTATAGATGGGTAAAATTTGGGTGTCTAGAGGCTAGCGGTACAAGGGGGGGCATTTTGGTATTATGGGATAGCAGAGTATGGAGGGGGGAAGTAGTCAATATTGGGAGTTACTCCATAACCTGTAGTTTCTCTTCTATAAATCAAAATTTTTCATGGCATTTGTCTGGGGTATATGGGCCTCATTGTAGAATAGAGAGGGAGAATGTTTGGTGGGAGTTAGCTGCTTCTAGGGGAGTTTTTGAAGGGCCTTGGGTTATTTGTGGTGATTTTAATGTTACAAGATTTATGGAGGAAAGGAGGGGATGCAACAGAATTTCAAGAGCTATGAGAGAGTTTACTAATTTTGTAGAGGATTTAGAGCTTATTGATCCACCTCTTGAAGGGGGAATTTACACATGGAGTAGGCGAGAGATTGGATAGGTTTCTGTTCTCTGCTGACTGGGATGAAAACTTTAGGAATANTTTCTCTGCAATGTGGGGTTTGGGAGAACACAAAATCATATTTTAAGTTTGAAAATTGGTGGTTGGGAACAGAGGGGTTCAAGGATAAAATAGCTTCCTGGTGGGTTTCTTTCGATGTACAGGGAAGACCTGATTATGTTCTAGCCAAAAAACTCAGGGTGTTGAAAGTTAAGCTGAAAGAATGGAGGACAGGTCAAGGGGGAAATTTGGAGGTTCAGAAAACTATCTGTTTGAACAAAATTCTTGTACTAGATGTGGTTCAAGAATCCAGGGATCTTTCTGAAGATGAGTTGGTGCAAAAGGCTAGCCTAGTCATGGAATTGGAAGAGATTGCCAAAAATGAAGAGTTAATTTGGAGGCAGAAATCAAGAGTTCAATGGTTAAAACAAGGGGATCGAAATACTAAATATTTTCAGAGGATTGCAAATGCCCACAGAAGGTTCAACAACATTGACAAGCTCAACATTAATGGGATACAAGTGGATGATAAGGAAGTTATAAAGGATGAGATCTTAGCCTTTTATCAGCACTTATACACTGAATCTGAAGCATGGAGGCCAGAGTTCAATCTTCCAGATTGTCCTAGAATTAGTGAGGCAGAGGAGCAATGGCTACAGAGGGAGTTTGAAGAGCAAGAAATCATTGAGGGATTGAAGGCTTGTGCAGCAGACAAAGCTCCAGGTCCAGATGGCTATACCATGGGTTTTTTTATTCAATGCTGGGAGGTGGTGAAAGAAGATTTGATGAATACTTTTCAAAACTTCCACTCACGGGAATTGTTTGAGAAGAGCTTTAATGCTACTTATGTAGCATTAATTCCAAAGAAGGCTGGGGCGATGGAACTAAAAGGTTATAGACCTATAAGTCTCATAAGTAGTGTGTATAAGATCATTTCAAAGGTGTTGACAGAGAGATTGAAGACAGTAATTCACAAACTGGTTGACACTCAACAAATGGCTTTTATCAAAGGTAGGCAGATCATGGATGCAACCCTAATAGCAAACGAATGTGTTGATTCCAGGGTTAAAAGTAAGATTCCTGGGATCCTTGGCAAACTGGATATTGAGAAGGCATATGACCATATAAACTGGAACTATTTGCTGAAAACTCTGAAGAATATGGGCTTTGGAAGGAAGTGGATCAAATGGATAGGATTCTGCATCAGCACCGTTAAGTTTTCCATTTTAGTTAATGGTTCTCCAGAGGGTTTCTTTTCCTCACAAAGAGGGCTAAGGCAAGGAGACCCTCTGTCTCCTTTCCTTTTTATAATTGTAATGGAAGGTCTGAATAGTATGATCAAGAAGGCAAACCAGGAGAGGTTGATAAGGGGTTTCAAGGCAGTGAATAATGTCAGTAGCAATCTGGAGATTACTCATCTGCTTTATGCGGATGATTCTTTGGTGTTATGTGATGCTAAAGAAGAGCAAGTTAGACATCTGAGGTTGATCTTATCTGTCTTTGAAGCTGTCTCAGGGTTACATGTCAACTGGAGTAAGTCACAGGTGTACACAGTTAATGAGGTCACCAACATTCAAAGATTGGCAGGGGTGCTGGGCTGTCAAGTGGGAAATCTCCCAACAACATATTTGGGGATGCCCTTGGGAGCAAAAAATAGATCCCAGGAGTTATGGAATGAGGTGCTGGAGAGGTGTGAAAAGAAACTTGCTATATGGAAAGGAAATTATCTTTCTCTGGGAGGGAGGATTACTTTAGTCAATAGTGTGCTAGATGCTCTTCCTACTTACATGATGTCTCTTTTCCCAATTCCTGTAAAAGTTGAGAAAAGAGTGGATGCTTTAAGGAGGAAATTCATATGGCAAGGGAAAAAGGAGAAGAAGGCCTACAATTTGGTAAAATGGAGCACTTTGCTAAAAAGCAAGAGGGATGGAGGTTTGGGAATCAGAAATTTGAGACAACATAACAAGAGTTTACTTATGAAGTGGCTATGGAGATTTTCTCTGGAGGATCAAGCTTTATGGAGGAAGGTTATCTGTGAAAAATATGGGGCAGATGGAAGGTGGTGTACAGCAGGAGCTTCTGTACCCTATGGTGTAAGTGTATGGAAGTCAATTAGAAATTTATGGCCAGGATTTATCAGCAATGTTAGTATCAAAGTGGGAAATGGCAATAAAACCTCTATCTGGAATGATGATTGGATTGGTAATGGACCTCTTAAAGACGCTTTTCCAGATTTGTTCACTATAGTGCAGCAACCCCAAGCTAGTGTGGCTGAGGTATGGAGTACGCAGGGGTGGAATGTTACGTTCAGAAGGTTCCTCAATGACTGGGAGGTTACGAGAGTCATTGAGTTCTACAAATTATTGGATGGCTTTAAGGGCACCACAGAAGAAGAGGACAGACTTACATGGGAAAGAAACAGCGGAGGAGTATATACTGTAAAGTCAGCATATGGAATCCTGAATAGCTCTGATCACATGAACAATGGGACATGGCACTGGAAGCACATCTGGAAGGTGAAAATCCCTTTTAAAGTGGCTTGCTTTTGTTGGCTTGTAGTCAAAGAGGCTGTTTTAACTCATGACAGTTTAATGAGGAGAGGAATGCTTATGTGTTCCAAATGTTTCTTGTGTGGAAAAGAGATTGAAACAAACAGCCACCTCTTTTTACATTGCAAAGTAACTAGTAGGCTGTGGTATCTTTTCATGAGTATGAAAGGTGTGAAATGGGCAATACCTAGGACAACTGCAGAAATGTTAGCTTGTTGGAATGACCCAGGTATTCTACTGAGGCAGAAGCATTGGTGGAGGTTGATCCCAGCATGTATTTGGTGGACAATTTGGTTGGAGAGAAATTCAAGATGCTTTGAAGATAGAGCTAACTCTGAACAAAAGATCAAGACGAATTGTATATTTTTGTTTCACTTTTGGTGTAAAGAAGCTCTGGTAGAGAATGTAGAGTCTATAGTGGATATTATTGGGTCTTTGTAACTACCACAAGTCCGGGTTTGCGTTTTTGCTCTTTTTCGAGGGTCTTGTAACTATCTTTAACCTTTAGCATAATCTTTATGCTAAAGGTTTCTCTACTTAATTTATAAAACTTGTTACCTTCTCAAAAAAAAAGGCTGGGAATGGAATTAAGACTCACTTTATCGAAATGGAATTAAGACTCATAAATTTTCATTAACCTGCTTTTGGTAATTAAAGCATGTACATATTTTCCAACAAAATGTTGGTGTTTTATTTACGAAAATATTTAATGATGAGATGTACATATATTATTTTTTGGGCAACTCTTATGTGAACAATTTACACCAAGAGAGAAGATTTTAATTGTCCATTCCTAGTGAAGCACTTATTAGAAAAAATGTTGCTAGCTACAGTACTTATCAAACAAAATTCATAATCACTTATGTTACCCCCAAGTTGATCTACCACGCCGTCACGACCTAAGTTGCTCGGACTCGGGTGCGGGAATCCGATACGGCAATGGACCCTGTCGAATTTAGCAAAATCTAAATTTTAAGATTCGGGAGTGCGGATTCATGTATGGATACGGGTACGGGGATTCAGCTTAAAAAATTCATAATTATAAAAATAGAGCTATAAAGAAAAAGAAAAAAGGCCATTCAAAGCCTTCCAACTCTCCATCTATATCGTTGCTACTATCTAGTAGAAGTCCGAACTCAGAACAAGACAGCTTGAATTTTTGGATTTTCTAAAACACAAAGCAGCAAATATGAGACATAAGTACTACAATATTGAAGGTATGTCATTTCCCATGTCTTAAATCTATTTTATTTTTAATTTTGAGAAATCAAAATTTCAATTTTCACCCAAATTTGTCGATGGACTCAGCTCAAAGTATCCGAAGTTAGTTGACCAAATATGTGACGTATCCCGCACCCGTCCCATGTCGAGACGGGTGCAGCACCAAAAACAAAGAGTCCGCGCAACTTAAGTCATGACCAACCACTATCTATAAATAAGCACTCTTACTTTTCTATTATTCTCTCCGTTCCAATTTATGTGAACCTGTTTGACTGGGCACAGAGTTCAAGAAAAAATAAAAACTTTTGGAATTTGTGGTTCTAAACAAAGCAAAAAGGGGCCCAGAGTATTTGTGTGGTTATAAAAGCTTCTCATTAAGGGTAGAATTGTAAGTTTAAGCTAAATTGTTACCAAATTTAGAAAGGGGTCATTCTTTTTGGAACGAACCAAAAAGGAAATAGGTTCACATAAACTGGAACATGAGTAGGTAATATAGTATTCTAATGCACGAAGATAATCAATTTGGTCATTGTCATAGAGGATCCGATTATAGATTTTTAACCACATTTTCCATACTCCATAGGGTCTTATCTCTTTGGGTTTTTTTCCTATAAGTACCACTATCCATATTTAGCAACCTTTGGATTAAAGCAGACAGTCAATGCAGTTTAAACAATGATTCTATCTCTCCTAGAAGCAGTTTTATCCCCAGAACATTTCAAACAGTATTCAAATCAGAACCAAACTAAGCTCCTCAGTGCAAGCTCTATTTAGAGAATTCAGATGTGAAAATGATTCAGCATCTTGATATCAAAAATCACGAGGACCAAGTGTTATTGCAGGTCATGACACTTTGACAAAATTGTATTAATGTCCTTGCATGGAATTTGCGGACTTGATTAGATTCACCATTGACCATTCTTCCAAACCTTATGAGGGCCAATGATGTTTATGACAGGGGATGTTCAGGTTCCATGCACCTCTAGACCATATTATTGCATCCCTGCTTTATGTGATGCTATATGCCCGATCAGCTGGCAGAATGTAGCCTGATTTTTGGACAGAAATGAATAAGCATATACTCGGGTGGGTTGAACCAAAAAAGGATCTACTACACCTAGGGGTGTCAATGGTTCGGTTCGGCCGGTTATTTTGTAAAATTTGTACCATACCACTTTTTCGGTTTTTCTATCATGTATAACCAAAATTAAACTTTTCGAAACCGTCTCAATCATGTCGGTTTCTCTTGGTTATCGGTACGGTTCGATTAATTTTCGGTATATTTTTAAATATAATGTAAATTCATTAGTAGAAGTAGAATGCAATAACACATGTTTTTTATAGGACTTAGCAAAACTCTCTAGACATTTTTACTGTTTAAACTGATGAATTAAAAAATAAAAGATGGCTAGGGTATAAATCCATCAACTATTCTACAACAACGTAAAAGGCAAAGAAAATATAAATCACACTAGTGGAAAGATATTAACCAAGTTGGGACTCAAGAATAAAGTCTATATTCAATACATTGTAGCTTGCTATAAATCCAAATTATATGAAAGGGAACATATTCAATACGTCGTAGTTTGCTACTCATAATCGCTAGAATATTTTGTGTCTTGCTAATGAAGTTTAAGTAGAAGTAGCATAATAGATTTTAGAAATTAGTATTTTGCGTTTAATTACTTGTTGGCTTGTAAAAGTTTTCATAATTCTAAACCCCAAAAAAAAAAATTATATTATTTTTAAAATTACTATATAATATATTTTTCACATGTAAAATTTATTCGGTACGGTTCGGTATTTTTTGGGTTTATTTCCAAAAAATAAAAAACCTACCCTAGTTATCGATGCGGTTATAGATTTATATAAAAACCTACGGTTCTTTAAAAGAAACCTAAAAATTGGTTCGGTACAGCACGGTTCGATCAGTTTAATCGGTTTTCGAATATCCATTGACATCCCTAACTACACCATAGAAAAATACGTGTCTGTTGCCTGCTGGATGGGAAAGACTTGAATTAATCTACAAATACCATAGATTCTTGAATGTTGCTTATGTGATCATAAGTTCTGGATGCTAGCTGCTACTTGTTGCAATCTATAGTCAGAAATTAAGCTTTCACTTCTTTTCTTTCCGGTTCTTCCCATTGTGTACAAGGAAGGAAAGGGTGATCTAGCACAGAGTACAGCTCAAATCAGAAAGACTAGCTATTAAATTTCACCAGCAGAAAGCTAAATTATTAAATACATTCAAAATAAAATGTCATGGATAATCTTAACCGCTAGTTTATTTAGAACCATCTACTAGAATTAATTCTTCTCCTTCAATGTTTTTTCACATAAGTGTGTCTGGCATGCATTGATCATTGATGCATCACAGGTTATTTTTTTTTTTCAAAAGTAAACATTGAACACTTCCGTAAGTATATGTGGCGAAGAAACAAGACCTCTAGCAGCAAAAGGTTAAGTGGACCAGTACATAGCATATCAGCAACCAAGCTTGCACCTAAACACAGCTTTGAAGCTTTTATGGATTTCACTGAAGTAGCTCAATGAGCAAATTTTGAACAATTGTTTATAACATATTTTGAAGAAACATTAGTCTCTATAGATCTGCGTAGATGCACTTACCTTCAAACTTCTTTGCAACAGCTTCAACCCAGGCTCTATCCTTATTGTTGTATGCATAACTGTTGCTGGAAGCCACAAGCACAAAAACATCTTTCTTCCACTTCTGGCCGGAATCTGAGGTTTCAGTTTGTAATACCGGTTGAACAAGGAGAGCACGGGTTCCTTTTGGAAGCATCTCCAACAGTTCAGAGTCTAGACTATCACAAAAATGTGGAGAGAACCACAATATCACAACTTAGTAATAATACAACAAAGTGCAGTTTTCACCTTAATTTACACTGCAGAAAGTGTAATTTAATATTTGAAAGGGCATCACTCTCATAGAAACGAGATTTAATAATTAATACCTGAGACCTCCGGAAAATAAAGTATCTCGTTCAAATTACGAAAACCACTTTGCTGGATCTGTTTCTCAAACCAATCACATAACTGATCTTTCGACACATCTTTTGGTATTCTCCAGTAGCCACGAGCACAAATTGTATCTTGAAGTGAAAATAGCTGCAAAATCAACATAATCTTCACGGTTATAAGTTTTATTCAAATTGTGGTCGTACTATCTTCTTGTAAGATGCTCCGACTAATCCATGTTGGCACAATCTTTTCTAAAGATACATACCACTGATATGGTGCTTGTGTTGCGCAACAAAACATATGTTCCCCAAGCCAAATCCTCCTTCAGAGTATCTGATATTTCTTCTGAGATGACAAAGGCTTGCTCAGCATCTTCAGGAACATTTCTTTCTTCTACTAGAAGAGCACCCTGAAGATAAAGCCAATTTAGTCATTAACAATTTAGTGCACTAAGGAAGTGGCCTAGCGGTCAATGTAGTGAGAGGAGAACCATAAGCTCTCCAGTACCCGATGGAATAGTCGAGGTGTGCAAGCTGGCCACCACATCACCGTCATAAAAAGAACATATTTTACTGTACATTTTCAATAACATATCCTCCAGTTTCGGGAGGATGTTATAGAACTTAGGCTCTCTAATATCTACGTAAAACATAGACAAAGAGATTACCTTAAGAAACTTTCCAAGGTAGGGAACCATAACAGAAAAAGCAGCCAAAAAAACACCTAAAACTTCCGTTCTCTATACAAAACAGAAAACGCTGAATTAGAATTAGAATTACATTAAAACAGACAACAGTTATGCATAGAGTTGAATACAAATTGTGAACTCACGAGCTGTGCAGCGGTAATGGCAGATGAATCCGAACCGAGAAAGTGATTCAATACCAAAAGAGAACCAAATGCGTAGCCTATGTACAGAGGCAAATATGATTCATCCAATCCCGGTATTCCTATCCAACACGCCCACACAATTTCACACACAAATAATGAGTACATATTAGATGAAAGTATATGAAAAATACATAGTAATTGAAATTGAGAGAGAGAAATAGAGGAGTTTTGGACCTACCGAGAGTGAAACGAAGAACGGAGAGATTAAGTTGTTGCTGTTGAGTATCAGTAGAGTTATCGAGACGACTGTAGAGTATCATTGGCGATGATTTTCTAGTTTTTCGGCACCGGAATTTTGAAGGAGGAATGGATATGCCGTATCTTTTAACGGGAAACACTAACGGCGCCAATGAGTTTAACGATTGACAGGTGTAGCTCATTTTCGTCCGCGGGAACTTCTCCTTTTGCTAAATGGATAATGTTTTGGTTGCTGGTGATTTCTACACTATCAGTCTGTGAAAAGCCTCGCCTGTTGGCGAGAGTCGTCGGGATGTTGTTGTACCACGCTCCGTTAACGAGTGTGTTCCACTGAACCAAAAATAAGGGAATTTTCCTTTTCTTTTCCCTTCATTTTATTACTCGATAAAACACTGCACCAAATTTGGGATTATATTTATTTTCTATTGGCATAAATAGCACTACTTGATTTCGTGAAGTAAAATGATAGAATTAGATATCTGGATATATATATCCAATGGGATATCCTATAAAAGTGATTAAATATTACATCCATTAGTGAAAATATTAACTTGAACAAAAAAAGTTATTATTTAAGATAAATTGAAATATTATAAGATATAAATTAATATTTTATGTAAGATCCAATTGTTAAACTATTTGAACTATAAATGAAAATTATATATAATAACTTGTAGTGACGAAATGTAACCAAAAAAATATTTTGAACGTAAAGTATTCATACAAGATATATGACTTTTAGCTTCATTTAGTAATATTATTATTTATATTATCAAATGTTAATTCAAAAAGTAGGATGTTAGCCATATGTTTGCAATGCATTACCTTGGATCTTGATGTAAAAAACTTTATTTGCTAATACAAAGATTTGAGTAGTTTAATTCGAAGTTCTAGAATATTTCTTATGTTAAAAAGTAAATATTCTTTGTTTTTTTAAAACCTTTTTTACGCGGATTTTATACTTTTTTCTACAAAGTTCAGAATTGTCTAAGTCAAAATATTATTACGTATTTTACAACACTTTTTGGGGCCTCAAAATTTTTGGGGCCTAAAGCGAAGTCTTTACTAGCGTCAACCTTGAGCCACCCATGAAGATAAGTTGTATATTTTTAAGCAAATAAACTGTTTGAAGATTGCAAAGATGTAGTAAATGATATGATCTTAAACACAAAATAGGAAAAATAATTGAGGAAGTAAAGAAGCTATTCTTGAATAAACAAAAGAAAGCATGGCTCAATTATAAAACATGTTAACATATGACTGAATAATTCAAGAGCAATAGCACATAAATATTCAGAAAGCACTGAAATATAAATCTTACTTATGTATACACTATCCAAATTCTAGCCAAATATGAAACTATAGAGGCTCTAATTTCAACAACACAGAACTTCATTATCCGAATTCTAGCCATAGCAAAGTTTCTTAATTTTGGACGAGCTTCATAAACACCAATTAGGGTTATATTTCAACACAGAACTAATATGCAATTCTTGAAGAAAACAAAAGAACGTTCAAAAGGGACTATGTGAATCTGCATAAGATTTACGATTTAGAGAATCGGGATGTCAACAAAATCAAGAAAAATTACAGAAAATTCAGAGATTCAATCAAAATAGAATATCCAAAAGTGAGAACAAGACACAAATAAGAGGCTAGCAAAACCTTCTAGTTTAGCCCCTTCTCAATCGTATTTTAAAAGGGTTTTTTTTAAACCCTAAACTCGAAACTGAAATTTACCATTAAAAAAGTGGAAACAAGATGGAGAATTCCAAGTATAATTTTCAAAATCTTACCCAGAAAAAGATTCGGCGGCTGCGAGAGACGTGTGAAGGATGAAATTTGTTTTGGGTTTAGAAGAAATAGCCTGATGTCAAGAGAGAGAAAAGGAGCACAGGCGTGTATTTTCAGTACTTTTAACCTCTAAACGGAATGAAGACTCAATTAAAGGTCTGACCGAAGCAGACCTCTTCACACTTTAAAAATAAAAAAAAACAAATATACTTAGAGCCTAGGAGGCCAAAAGTATTTTTTTGGTAAAAAAAAGTAATTTTTAAAAAATTTAAATTGTTTGGCCAAAATAAAAAAGTACTTCTTAGCAGCAATAGAAGCAATTTTTCTGCTTCTGACTAGCTTCTTCCAAAAAGCAAAAGCAGAAACAGAAAGTTAATTTATTCAAGACAAAAATAACCTTACAATAAATTTATATTTCTTAAATTATCCCTCATTAATTTAATTTTTCTTTTTTATTTTCCTTTTCCTTTTCCTTTTTCTTTTTTTCTGCTGTACATTTATTCTCTCTTTTTTTAATCAATTTTTATTCTCTTTCTCCTATTCTTAAGAGTAGATTATAAATTTATATTGAATGATGTATTTTGATATATTTAAATTATCATGTAAATAATAAGTAATACCAAACACTCAATATTATTGCTGTAGACAATAAATTGCGTCGAGAAAATAAAATCAAGACCAAAAAATATCGCAACAATCGTAGTATTTGATTTCGAATATTTGAGTGTACAATCTCTATGAATTCTCTGATTCTTCCTTCCAATAGTAAATAAATTCAAGGGCCTTTGAGCTTGATCTTGAATCTATATTTGCTTCCACGAACGATGATCTTGTTCTTGAGCTTGAGCTTGAGCTTGAGCTTGATTGCTTGAACTTGTCTTGGTTCGTTCTTCGTTCTTGAGCTTGAACTTGATTTCTTGAACTTGAACTTGATTGCTTGAAGCTTGAAACATGTAGAGAAATTTGCGGCGTTTGATCCACGAGCTCTCTCTTGCTTCTTGTTATAACTTCTGGTCTCCTTTCTGAGTTATGAAGACCCTTATTTATAGTTGTGGAAGAGAGGAGTTGTGATAAGAACAAACTCTTTCCGACCAATCAAATTGAAGTGTGACATGGCCGCATTTGATTTGCCAAAACATGTCACTTGCACACGTGGCGCGATTTCATTGGCCTTTTAGTGTGACTGGGCATGCCTTGTCATCTTGACACGTGGCATGGTCCTATTGGCTCATCCGCTTGACTTGGCGCGCCACGTCATTTGACACGTGGCACCAAACTGGGCCTCTAGGAAGATGTCATCTTGGGCTTAATGAAGTTGGCTCATCACTTTAGCCAAATTAAATGGGCTAGCCCAATGGATTAAGACTTATTTATTTAACCCATATGTATTGTACTTATATAATTAATTCATTTATATATTATCCCATAATATTTATTTGAACTAATATATCTTGAAATTAAAATATAGACCAAATTAATTTTATGAATTTAAATCCAATAAATTTTGTATGCCTACAAGTGCCCCCTACTTCAAGAGTTGTCAAAATATCAACTTATTGACTTCTAAAAGATGAGGCTTGAAGTACCATGCTTAAACGATTTCCAAGCTTTCCAACCTGATCTGATTTATTCTTTTAATCTATAATCCATGCCAAGACTTTAATCAACGAATCTGAAAATGTCACTTTTTCTTAACTTAGAAAAGCACCTTTTTTGTAGCGTCCATTGACACGTTGCTTTTCAGTTATAACAATTTGTACTCTTTTCAAAGTACTTTCCTTGTTTAATGGAATTTGGTCTCAACATTACTTGGTTAAAGAGATAACCATGTATTTATCGATTCCTTTTTGGAGTTGGATGCCGAGTCCATATCAGAGACAATTTGTTGAGCCGCCTTAGCAGTTCATGTTCTTTTCGAGGACTGATTTCCGTGATTCCCACATCGATATTATACTATTGCAGGTCATCTACGGAGATCTATATAAACCCATGTCCTCGTAATCATTAAGCATCAATTCGCAGTTTTCGCAAGCCATTTGAGTCTAGTTCTGTGGACTCGGAAGCATTGACAAGAAGGTAATTTCTTCTTCTTTTCTTGTGCTTTTCTTCTTTTGTCATTTTTTTGTAGGTCAAGCGATAAAGATATGTTTTTGTTCAATGAGATGATCCATGCATGAAGAAGACAATCTTGGGGTGTGAGGGGATGAGTACCCATCCTTGCCCGACTATCGGAGAGATTACTGTCAATGTGGCTCGACTATCGGAGAGATTACTCTCAAAACGGCCCGACTATCGGAAAGATTACTCTCAATATGGCCCGACTATCGGAGAGATTACTCTCAAAACGGCCCGACTATCGGAGAGATTACTCTCAATGTGGCCCGACTATCGGAGAGATTACTCTCAAAATGACCCGACTATCGGAGAGATTACTCTCAAAATGACCCGACTATCGCCGAGGCCAACTTAAGGTGCAAAAGGACTCATATGTCCACCTTAACATTGGAATGTTATAGTTCCTTTTAAGGACAAACCCGCGAAGAGGCCGACTTAAGGTGCAAAGGGACTTATATGTCCACCTTAAGATTGGAAAGTTATAAAGCTTCAACTCGAAGATGACATCGGCTTGAACACTTGGAAAACTTTGAAGATTTGGCGGACTTTGCAGACTTCAACTCGAAGATTCGGAGGGCTTAAATAATTCAACTTTAAGATCGGCGAATTTGAAGACTGAAATTTGAAGACCGAAGGTTTTGAAGACTTCAACTTGGAGGGCTTAAATATTTCAACTTTAAGACCGGCGAATTTGAAGACTGAAACTTGAAGACCGACGAACTTGAAGACTTCAACTTTGAGACTTGGAGGGCTTAAATATTTCAACTTGAAGATCGGCGAATTTAAAGATTTCAACTTGAAGACCGACGGAGTTGAAGATTTCAACTTGGAGACTTCAACTTGAATACCGACGGACTTGAAGACTTCAACTTGGAGACTTCGAGGGCTTAAATATTTCAGCTTCTCTTTTGCTTTACATTGTCCGACTTTTATCTTAGTCGCATAATTTTTAGCTTTACGCGCTTGTAACAAAAGATTCATATCTTGTCGTGGGAGAGTCCAAATAATGAACCGTTTGATGACTTCAATATCTAAAATATATCCAATACTTAGAATCAAAGACCTTCGGAATCGCGCCGGATAATATTTTGAAACCAACTTTAGATTTCACCATGTTGAAAATTTCAGATTTGCGCAGTCTCACCAAAAAAAATTATATCTCGGTGTAGAAATATCGAAATTGCAAACCGTTTGATTTCAAGAAAACTAGACTTCAAGATCTAGAACATATCCAAAGTTCTCAATCAAAAAACTTCAGAATCATCCCAGATAATATTTTGAAATCAACTTTATATTGCACTACGCTATCAATTCCAGATTTGCGCAGTCTCACCAAAAAATTTCATATCTCGATGTAGAAATATCGAAATTGCAAACCGTTTGATTTCAAGAAAACTAGACTTCAAGATCTAGAATATATCCAAAATTCTCAATCAAACAACTTCAGAATCGTCCCAGATAATATTTTGAAATCAACTTTATATTGCACCACGCTATCAATTCCAGATTTGCGCAGTCTCCCCAAAAAGTTCATATCTTGGTATAGAAGCCTCAAGATCGGAAGATGTCTTACTTGCCATCAATCGAAATTTAAGAGCTATATTCTCACAAATATCTTGGGTTCAAGTCTCACCGAATTTGAAACGTTGTGCCAAGCATTCTTTTCCTTATACTTGTGTTTCCTTTTGACGCCTCTCTTCTCTTCCTCTTCTTTTAAAGGCAGAGGGCGGACTTGGAGACCAACAAACTTGAAGGTTTGGAGAACCTGAAGACATAAAAATCCCTGGACTTCAATGCAAATACTTGACATCCTCCTAAAATCGCCCCATTGAAGATGTCAATTTACCATGGAGTATTTCCCCCTTTAAATCAAATGAGATCAAAGTTCAACAGGAGGATGGCATTTCAGCTTGATTTTACATTCCTTCATACTTCATTCGAACAACAATTGGGGCAATATGTATCTTTTGAACTTATGCGACTGAACTTAGAATAAAACTCTAAACTGCCTACGTACCTCGGCGAAGAGGATCAAGTCATACCGTAGTTCAGACTGGGTGATTTTTTTTTTATGTCCTAACTTTTGCCTAGGCAACCTCTTTCAAAGTTTTCAACCTAGCGGACTCTTTTTTTTTTACGTCCTAACTTTTGCCTAGGCCGCCTCTTTCGAGATTTTCAACCTAGCGAACTTTTTTTTTATAGGGGGGGGGGGGGGCATACACAGTTTAGACTCATGCGGGCTAGGAGTGTAGCAACATGCAGTTTAGGCTCGTGCATTAGGGAGCGACATGACTTGCAGTTTAGGCTCGTACGTCGAGGAGCGTCATGACTTGCAGTTTAGGCTCGTACGTCGAGGAGCATTGCGACTTCGCGGATAATACTTCTTTAAAAACTTACCATTGATAGGGCCGATTCTCATGCCATCTACATCAACCAACTTGTAAGCCTCACTTGAGCAAGCTTCTTGTACGACATATGGCCCATCCCATTTTGAGGTGAACTTCCCTACAGGTTTATGAGAAGTAATTATGGGTCTTCGTACGGCAAGGACTTTATCTCCTACTTGAAAGGATCTCGGGCGAACTTTTTTATTGAAGGCACGAGACAATCGAGATTGATAACATTCAAGACTCTGTTGAGCTTCCAACCTCTTCTCATCAAGGGACTCCAACTCTGCTAATCGACGTCGAGCATTTTCTTCATCAGTGATCCCTTCTTGAATAGTCAGTCGTAACAAAGGTATTTGACGCTCAAGTGGCAAGACGGCTTCGACTCCATAAACGAGTGAATAGGGAGTCGCCTGTGTTGGCGTGCGGTGAGTCGTCCTATATGCCCATAGAGCTTCTTCCATACGGTCATTCCAATCTCGTTTGGATTTGGAGACGACTTTCTTTAACAAGTTGCATAGAGTCTTGTTGAATGCCTCAGCTAGACCATTGGCGACAGCATTGTACATCGAAGAGTTACGTTGCTTGAAGCCAAAGAGATCACAAATCTTGTTCATCAACCTATTATCGAATGGCTTTCCATTATCC